GTTTTTATGTCACTTGTGCAAATTCCCTACCCCAAGAACCTTCAGGTGGGATCATTTTCTGGCTTGGATAACAAAATTCACCACCTAAGCAGAACTCTGCCTTCAGTATCTAATTATTCCACAAGGTGACAGAATCAGTGAAGCTCACTGAGGTCACTTTTCAAGGTAATTCAGCTCCTAACCCCAAATCCATCTGGAGCTGGAGTAACCAATCCCTTTTTAACCTGCAAGGCAATCCAACTGCAGGATTTTAACAATTCAGTCAGCTGCTTCTTCCACCACTGAACTCACTCATTTTGAACCTTTTCCAATTGCTACTCCTACCCTTAAATATTCCATTTACCCCAGTGCATGTCCTGCAAAACCAGCAGTGCTTCAGCAAAGAGCCATTGGTGAGGATTGCAGATTGACGCCGCTGGGGCTGAGCTGGAACTGAGCACCTGGGATGGTTCTTTGAGACTAAAAATGAATTGAATTGGATTGAATTTGATTTTTTTTTTTCCCCCAGCTGTCCCCCAAGACAGTGTAGAGTGGCAGATGCTACCTGGTTTCCTGCTCTCTCCTTGCTCAAGCTTGTCTCTCTGCTGGCGCAAAGGGCTGCGACTCCAGGGTCTCATTTTTACTTTGTCTCCATATTCTTCCCTCACTGTTCTATGGTGTGCAGAAACTAGGGAAAACAAAACCACAAGAAATTGTTACAGCTGCCTAATTAGAGTTGTCCTGTCTGCCACAGCCACCTGGTTGGAATGTTTTTAATTTTTTTTTTTAACAGGGTAATAGGGAAGAATGGGAGAGGAACCTACTTAAATCAGTATTTAAGTATTAAATGTAAGTATGTAAACTTAAGTATATTATATTATATTAAGTATTAAAGTATATTATATTATATTAAGTATTAAAGTATATTATATTATATTAAGTATTAAATCACTATTNAATAACCAGTTTCTGTGTATGATAACAGAACTCTCACAAGGATATTTTTTCAGACAGCAAGAGCAAGATAACAGTTATCAATGATATCAAAACTATTGGAGAGGATATTTCCTCACCTGCAGGGCAGGCAGGTATTTGGGCAGCTCCTGTTTCAGCTCGATGGGGGAGGAAGCTGGAGAGTCAGGAATGTATTCCCCTTCTGTCATGGCATTGGAGTGAGGGGAGCCTTCACCCACCTCCTCCTCCTCCCCCTCACTCCCTGCAGAATCCCGGTCAAACCGCGACTCTGGAACTTCAAAAGTCAGAATCAGTGGTGGAAAGAGGAGCTGTGAGGATTAAATCAACTTAATTCTTAATTTATTTAGGGAAATCAAGGTGGTGACATTGAGCACAGCGTGGCAGAGGATGGTGGAGAAGGCAAATTTCTCCTCTTGGCTTTCAGGAATTCACCTACAGTTTCCAGGTGAGAAAAATAAATTTACACCAGAATGGAAAATTGTCCCAAGATTCTCATTCTGGGTCTCATTCTCTGATTCTGATTCCAGTGTTAATGCAGCAGGTGAGAAAAATAAATCTTGACACCAGAATGGAAGAGAAAAGTGACCTCCACCTCACTCCCTGCAGAATCCCAGCCAAACCTCAACTCTGGAACTTTAAAATTCAGAATCAGGGGTGGAAAGAGGATTAAATCAACTTAATTCTTCATTTATTTAGGGAAATCAAGGTGGTGACATTGAGCACTGCATGGCAGAGGATGGTGGAGAAGGCAAATTTCTCCTCTTGGCTTTCAGGAATTCACCTACAGCTTCCAGGTGAGAAAAATAAATTTACACCAGAATGGAAGAGAAAATTGTCCCAAGATTCTCATTCTGGGTCTCATTCTCTGATTTTGGATTCTCATTCTGGGTTTCATTCTCTGATTTTGATTCCAGTGTTAATGCAGCAGGTCAGAAAAATAAATCCTGACACCAGAATGGAAGAGAAAAGTGACCTCCACCTCACTGCCTGCAGAATCCCAGCCAAACCTCGACTCTGGAACTTCAAAAGTCAGAATCAGTGGTGGAAAGAGGAGCTGTGAGGGTTAAATAAACTTAATTCTTCATTTATTTAGGGAAATCAAGGTGGTGACATTGAGCACAGTGTGGCAGAGGATGGTGGAGAAGCCAAATTTCTATTCTGGCAAAGGTGATGCTTTCAGGAATTCACCAACAGTTTCCAGGTGAGAAAAATAAATTTACACCAGAATGGAAGAGAAAAGTGACCCA